GAGTATAGGAGCTGCAAAGCTGCAGTAACGGCAGGGGGGCCGTATTTTTTCTCTCTGCGGCTATCCTCAAACAAACTCGTCTATCATCAACAGACCTTCTGTCGAAATTCCCTGGCTGTCTTGGTGCCATCTAAAGCAGAAAGGTTACGCTTTGGGTTTGGGTGTCTAGTGGATCTTGAACTGAGGAATATTATTCTTGCCTTTGTACAAAGAACAAACAAAAAGAAGGGAGAATATGTTCACTGCAGAAGGTTGATTCTTTTTGGAGGATGCAGCTTTGCTGACCATAACCATGCTTTGCAAAAAAAATGTGACCTGCAAGGTAAGAAAACTGGGCAGGGCCCAATGTTTCTTCTTGAATGTGTATGCTAATGTATTTCCCTTTCAGGATAGCAAGGTAAATTATTTTTCAAAAAAGTAAAACTGACTAGAATTTATTTTTGTTTACCCCCTCCCAAAGAACGTAGTAGAAGACTTCGACCGTGGAGCTATTCCAGATATCTGAAAGAAAGCGTACTTTGAGAGCTGAAAACTTGTTTTTAGATGCATCGTTTACCTGAGACTGGAATAGCTCTCTCCATGTGACCGTGCGTGTGTTCGCGTGCTCGCTGCCTGGGAGGCTGTGTGTCCAGTACACGGAGTCTGGCTTCCAGATTTGTATAAATAACGCTAACCGTGTACACGCAAAGCAAATACTGCACTGCGCAGTTGCCACTTTTAAATGGTTTGCACACGCTGGTGAGGTTTTTTTGGGGCTTTTTTTTTTTTTTTAGTATTCATCCATTTTACCACAGTGTGGACTAATTAGTTGCCAAAGGTTATTTTTAAATGCATCTTTGACATTGTTGTATGCCACATCTTCTAAAAAAAGTGTCTTAAATGTGTCTTTGAATAGTTTTATGTTCACGGAACAAAAGTTTGGACTTCTTTTTTACCTAAAACACTTGCTTCTCTGTTGAGACCATGCGTTGCAGGTGGTTTTCATCTCAAAGTAGGGGTTTTGGCAGGGGGTGTAGCAGGATAATTCTGAACCTTCGGAAAACAGGGGTCTTTTAATGGAGACACGGAATGAACTGTAAGCAGTGCAGCGAGGGGAGGGTGGAAGGCGTTGTGTTCGGAGCCCGTTTCAGTCCTTGAGCAGTACATGCAGCAGTGCTGTACTAATAACTGGAAGCTGTTGTTTTCCATATTTTTTTTTTTATTTGGGTTTTTTTTTTCCTTTGTTTTCTTTTTTTGAACACAGGAAGGCTTTGAGGACGGCCTCTGCATGGTTCCTAGTGTGTGCTGTGTGCTGGGGGCGGGGGGGGTTACAATACCTGGGTTTGCTCTAGGCTCCTTGAGATGTGTTGTGGTTTTTTTGGCTAGCATGTCTTAAATCTTCAGGCTTTGAAACTGCTTTATAGAATTGTGTTGACTTTTTGTTCTGCTGTTGTTCAGTTGCACAGAGTTTTATATATATGATGTACTAGTTTTAACGTTAATTCTCTGTGAACAGGGTTGAGATTATTCATTGTAGTTAAAAAAAAAAAAAAAAGTTGTATTCTAAAACTCCCTTTTAAAATCGTTTGTATTCTGTTGCAGTGTTACCAGATGGCCTTATGTACGTCACAGTGTTTTGTGATAAGTACAGTAGCACATTTAATGCTTATCTCCCTCCCCTCTGTTTTTATAGCTGAGAAGTATATTCTGAATAATAGAGATGAATAAATGGGAAAATTTTAGCAGAACGTCTGGTAAGGATAGTGGTTGTCTCCCCTAATGTATATTAGGACAGCTGGAATTAATCTGGGACTGAAACGACTCTGAATAGGGATCGTTAACCAGCACGAGGCTTTGTCTTGGGAATTCTGAGAATCTCGGAGCGAGCTGGTGGCAGATTTGAATCGTATGCCAAAGCTGGTAAATCGGCATGGATCTGTCGGCTTCACCGCAGCTGGTCTGGCTGACGCTGGCTGAGGATCTCGCCCTTGCAGCTTTTTGTCTATGGCTCAGATGGAGGCAGGGGAGGGAAGTTTAAGTTAAATTTTAGAGAACTTAAGCAACCTAATCAGCTGTGGTAAGGTGTGACAGTTGTTCTGTTTATTTTTAAAGTGCACATCTGTTTTGGAAAGTGACTTTAGTGTTTACTCCACAATTGAATTGTTAGGTTAACCTGGGTCCTTTGCAAATTGGCAAGATGATGGCTGCAGCGTTCTTTCTACTAGAGCAGCTCTGACCTCTCCGCTTGGGGCAGACTGAGCAGACAAGCGTGTCGGTTAACTTACTGACTCTTTAACTTTGCAATGGATTCCATTTTACTTTCCTGTAATTTCAGTAGAACCATCAGTGGTAAAAATTACATTGAAACCAGCAGAGATAACATTTTCAGTTACTCTTTCCAGAACAGAACTGCATTTAATATATATATATATACATACATAGTACCAAGTCCAGAGACAAAGCAAGTTATGTTGTAGTGAGTGTCTACCTTCCTACACTGGAGACTTTTTCTAGACACGGTCTTTCAGAGACAACTGTCATCTTACACCGCTTTGGTGCTCTCATTACAGTTGGGTAAACTTGCCTGGGAGAGAATAGCTTCTCAGTGTAACTTTTTTTGAAAATAATACCTTATAATAAGAGTATCTTAATGCCATTGTGTTTAAAAAAAAAAAAAATGCTGGTATGTAATGCAAGTACATAAATAGCCAAAGTTTTCAGCAATTGTTCAGTGTTACTAAATTTGCTTTTATTTAACCTTCCAAGATAACATATTAGGAAGACCTTCGTCATGTTGATATCATATTGAAAAAAGTCTGATCAACTTGATTATAGCAGATATGCAGTTATTTGAACACATTTCAGGTTTGAATACAATTTGGAGGCAAAGTCCTAAGATGCAAAACTTACTTTGGAGGAGGTGCACTGTAATGACACTTCAAAGTAACAAATGCTGCTTTTAAAGAGTGGCGTATTGGCAGTTGTTATTCAAACATAATGAAGGTCTTTCCTGAGAAATCAGGTGACTTTTCTATTGCTTCAGTTTTTGTGCAAAAAGAAAAAAAAAAAATAATCAATGTATTGCAATCTTTTTTAAAAATGGGGTGGGAATAGTTAAAGAAAACTATTTTATGTAAGAACTGACAGAGGGATTTGCTTTGTATAATGCAAGCTGGCTTTAAAAAAAGCATTGTAGCAAATTATTCAAGTCAATCATATGTTAATAGTTATGTGCAACCAGACATGCAAAACAATTGTATTTTTTTAAATAAATATTTTTAACAAAGTTTCTGATCTTTTGACTGGTTTTTTCAGTGGAGGAAATTGAAAGTTACAGCTGCGGGGCAGCTCGCCCTGTGCTAACCAGGGAGTTCAGCAGACCTTGAGCTCGCCCGTCGCTTCGCAGAGGCGCTCCCATCTTGCTCGAACGGGGACGGAGGCGGAGCTGCTGGTGCTAGCTTTGTAGTGCTGCACAGTCTTTTTGCCAAATCAGGTACTATTCTCTTCTGGTGAAAATTTCCTTTCCCATTCTATCTGTAGTGCTGGTAGCAAAGCGCAGGTTTGAATTGCCAACTACACTTTTAACGGAAGAAATGCAGTAGCATTTAGCTACGTATTATCAGTCTGCAAGGACAGAAGAAGATACTATTTTTTTAGTAGCTGACAGTCCCTGATGTGATATATGTGTAATCTGAGTAGATGTCTTTCAAAATAAACTCCCTCATTGTATTGTTTCGTGCTCGTTTCCTCTGTGCAGGGATGGAGAGAATGCTGTCACGGTGGGAAGGGCTCTATTCAGTGGAGTTTTTTTGCTGCAAATGGGTTTTGCAGTACAGCGCTTTTTTTCATTCTGGGTATCTCAAGGAGAGTAGCAGTGGCATCCTGTGGTGCTAGGGAAGAATTACAGCACGTCCTGCACTGGCTGTGAAGCAGGAGGGCGCCTGTAGTTCAGGGATGAGCTAAGCCCAAAATTCAACTGCATTTACCTCCTTCCTACCTTGGCCTGATGTGCACTCAGCTTTAGCTAGACCAACTCAATTCTACAAGTCTGCTCTTTGGGGAGTCTTTCTACGGACCCAGCCCTGGGAGCTTGTGAAGATATTTTATGGAAGGTAAGATCTACTGCTTGGAAGAAACAGAAACACTAAAGCCAATTGAATTTAAACAGCTGTCAGGTTCAGTCTGAGTTCGAAAGCCAGAACGTCATGCTGAGAATCTAGCAATCAATCACCTTTAATTAAACACTGCTTTATATACACACATACATATGTACATCCACATACAGCAGTTAAAGCCAAAATACATGTCCAATCACTCACTGAAGAAATAGATGTATGTAGCTTTACACTCTTCTAAAGCCAGTCCTTTCTTCGTAGCTTGTAATAGGTCATGCGTGGGTTATGAGAGTACCTTACGGAAGGCACCTGTTTAGTAAGTATTGCACAGATTAAGCAGCTGGAGGCTGGCTCCCAAATACCTCTCTTGAAGCTTCAACTGGAAGCTAGAAATAAAACCACCCTAGAAGACACTGCAACTGTAGCAGCTAAACTAGTGACTTAAAGCAAAAAAGATAAAAAGAAAAAAAAAAATCACAACTTGTTCTTGACTCTCAAAAAAAAGCTAATGATTTTAATAATTAATAATTTTAATAATTAAGAGGCCCTAGCATGCTGAATAAGACACTGTCTTAGTGAACACGTCTGGTACTGTGCGATATACGAGAATCAACTGTGCAAATATAGATAGGTCCTGCTACCACTGTGCCCTTGGTGGGTTCTACCAGTTGGGTAATTTTTCCCGCTTCGGAAGTATACATGGAGGTGGCATCTACTCCAGTCAGTGTTGCACAAAAATGAATTCAAATCCAGTATTGTGCTGTACATTGTAGGGGCTTCTGGATGTTACAGGCCAAAAGAAAAATCTGGTAAGTGCAACGGTTCAGCCAGGAGCTATTCAGTCTTACACACGGAACAGAGCGAGCCCCTTCCTTCCCCCCCTCCATCCTGAACTGGTAAGAAAGTTCATTTGCAGGAGTAACTGTGCTCCCCTCACCCCTGCCACATGCCGCAGCCTTTCGGAGACGGGCTCGGACGCTTACAGGCTGCTTTTTGGTGCACGTGACAGGGCAACTTGTGCTTGGCTTGAGGCAGTGTTTTAGGATGTTTTCTCGATTCTGACTTACCCAATCTAATGTGCTTTTGATTGCAGAAAACTTGCATGATTCAGTCATTAAATGTGAAATCATCCTTAATAGTAATGCTTAATTGTGTGGTGTTTTATTGCTTGTCTGGGGCTCGGCCACTTCTTCAGCGCTGATACTGTCCCGTGTCATCCATCACTGCTGGTTTGTCGGGTGAGGCATCATCCGTATCTGCAAAAGTGACATTAGATATTTCACCTGAAGGTACCGAGCCTACCGAGCTTTAAGGGAACGTGCACGAGCTCTCCCAACCACGGATGCTGCTGTTCTATCTCCCACCACACCAGCTTGTGTACTTCACTGGCCAAAGGCCTCCGTTCCCAGTAACCTGGAGAAGTTTTTTGCCTGTCACACAGTGCTCCTTCTACAAAAGGTGCTTAGAAAAGTGAGTAGTGTATGCAGACCGAGGCAACGCCTGAGAGAAATCCTTTATCATCAGGCTTTTCTCAAGCGCCTGACAGCTGCCTTCGGATGGCAGGCCCGCTTGTTCCCTGGATTTTAGCCAGGGAACAGCGTGGGGAGGCTCGTGCAGTCTGTACGAGGAGGACTTACTCCTGCGAGCTCTGCAGCAGCACGGCAGCGCTTCCACAGCTAGCATCCTATGTGTGCGTTACAGCTTCTCTGTGATCCACAGACCATTCCGACTTTTTCCCTTGCTTCTCCAACAGAAAAGCAAGCAAAACCCCGAGCTGCGGCTGCCAAGGCTCCGCGGGCAAGTCAAAGCAGGAAGAGGGGGAGGAAGCAGCAGTAAAATAAACATTTCCTTGCATTTTGCTGAAGTGCTGCACCCTGGTTACGTATTCATGCATGTGCCACTCTTCCTCTCATTATAAAGCAGGGCTGAGGGCTGGGGGCTTTCTTACCTGATGAGGGCTTGGGGTACATCCTGTGGAAAAACAGGAGGAAAGCGTAGAAGGTAAAGGCCAAGCCTCCAAAGATCATCCCGCAGACCAGGAAACTGTAGCTGCCCTGATCGTGTATAATCTGCAATTGGAAGGGGAAAAAAAAAAAAAAAAAAAAAAA